CTTCAAAATAGTCCAAACCAACGGTCTTTCGGTGAAAGAAAATACTAATGCTTCAGAATGCACTGCTCAGAATAACTCGATCATCGCATTCGCCTTCGACAACATATCTTGACCTTCTTCATTCTGGGACTTATGAATGAACTTTTCAAGCCTAGTGAGCGTCTGAAACCTCCTGCAGGTATCAGAAACACTGCTACCGACAGAAATCGCCCGATTGTTTACATCTGATGATCCTGGAAGCTGATGTACACTTGCTTGTGTTAAAGCGAGGGAATCTATTTGATGAGAACTGAAACGGAGTTGAATATTTCGCTAACTGTTGTGACTAAGATGATAACTTATAAGTTTCTTCGTGGTTTTCTGCTCAGGATAAGCGACACATCTGCCGATGGTGTTTTTCACTTGGCGATTTTAGCTTTACTCAACACTCGGCAAACTTTGTTTTTGTTTTTCATTAGTGCTCGCCAAGGTTACCGGTAAGTCAAAAACGACTTCTATATAAATTTTATTAAGGAAAAATCCCTAAACTTTTCGCTACTCGGAATTAAATTTACTTCTCTTACTGTTTTCAATCGGCCTTCATCGTTTCAATGCCGCTTGAATTTTCCGAGCCGGGCTCTTCCTAATTTGCATAATCCGTAATCGGCCCGTGGGCATTACGGCTGCATAATGACCGCTCATATCTCGCTCTTAGCCAATCAGAGCGCGCGTTATATCGGTCGTAAGCCAAAGCCATATAAGAATTGTTGAATAATAACCGGCCCTAAAATGCTTTGGCTTTATTTTGTTACGAAAGATCGCAAAAAAAAAAAGAAAAAAAAAAAACCTTTCGAAAGAAGAACTACCAAGTGATGCGCGGAAAAAGTCATTTGAGACCATCGAGCGATCGTCATGAGTTCTTCGCAGTTTTCTCCTGGTGTAGCAGGTTTTGATAGTACCACTACCACTGTTACTGTTCTGAAGAGAAAGGAGCCGGGTAGAGCTTAAAAAACAAAAACACTTTGGTCATCAGTACGACGACCAGATTTCGGGCGTGATAAACTGAGATTAGTCGAACTGGAATATTATTTGTGAGTAGTGTTTCCTCGTGCATTATTATAATCGATTTGCGTTCAGTCGCACTCAAGACATAAAGATCACGTTTTACATCACAGCAGACAACTGACATCGTGATTTGGAAGCCTGCCATCCAACCCTTTTTTCCTATTTAACAGATTAACCCGCGATCAGTCCTTTTATTTCAGTTAATTTAATATTGTTATTTATTTATTTTTGTTTGGGTGAGGGGAGGTTGCGGAAGGGGTATAGGAATAGCGTCTACTAGGCGTTCAGATAGTTAGGGCGCAGCGCGAAAATCGGCGAGCGAGAAAATAGGGGAGAAGGGTGGCAAAAGAAAGCAAAATAACGCCTGTGGGCAAACCTAACAAAACAGTATACCAGGATCTGGTATATCCTCTGATTGGTTAATTTTGACAGGGTTTGGCAGCTCTCGGGCGTTACTGATGCAGATGAGAAATGCGATATGGTGGCGGTCAGTGTAATTGACGGGCCTACACGACTCCTGCGGTTCGTGACATTTGTACACGCGTGTTTACAAAGGACACTTTTTATGTTGCGTTGTTAGGGCCTGGCTGTTTGATTTGAGCTGTTTGCAAGTACAGTTTGTTGCTTCTTATCACGGATATCATATTTATCATTTATCGTCGTCTGATTTTTCTTCAGAGACTGCCGTAGTTTTACTTCGGGAAAAAACGCCGTGATTTTCCAGTCGATTCCTGTCGATCTCTCTGAGTAGGTTTTAGCCTGCTTCGCGAAAGGAGTATCTTTAGTCGGCGATCTAGCGTTAGTTTGTCGTTTTGGTACTTTCAGCGATTTTTTTTTCCTACAATTTCCGAGAATTATTTCTAAACACATCTGCTGACAACTGAAAGCCACAAGCTGGCGGTCACGTTACGGGTCCCTGTAGGCGGTCTATAGGTGGGGGGAAGGACCTGTTATTAAGTTTGCCCACAGGCGTTCTTTCGCTTTCTCTCGCCACGCTTCTCTCCTACTTTTTCGCTCCCCGTTTTTCGCGCTGCGCCCCAACTAACTGAACGCCTGGAAGAGGCTAGAGTAGGAAAGGAAAACCTTCCAAGGAGAGAGATGAGGAGGAATGGTATGATCGCAAGCTATCCCCAGCCCATCGTGTCGACCGTCAAATTAGATTTTCCTGTGATCATGCTACACTTCTAATGGAAGACGCACTAATGTGAAATTATTCTTATAATAGGTTCGATGTTAGTAATAGGAAGTCAGGGCACTGAAAATACCAGGCATATGGAAGTTGAGAAATCGTAATTTTTGTTTCTCAACAGAGAGTGGGGTGAGGATTCATTTGGCCTAGTGACGTCAGCTGCATTAGAAATGCTACGAGATGTTTTTAAAATCTTGGACATGTTCGTTAACGTTGGAAAATGTTTTTATCATGTCATTGTAGATTAACGAGATTATAAGCGTCATTCGAACAATCTCTGTATCAGGCAGGGTAGCAAGTGCTATTTTTTGTAAATCTTGATGTATCATTTAGTAAGATTTAGACCATTATTATCCAATCGTTGAGTCGTAGGAGCTGTGGAGTGTACCTTGAGAGTTGTTACGTCATTACGATGCACTCTGCAGATTAGCAACATCGGCGGACGAGAAATGTGAGCTCTGCACGATGTTGGAGACTGAAATTAAGCTTCAAAAGGTGCTTGATCCCTTAACTTGTAAAGGGAAAAGCTAAGTGACTTCGTAATTTATGGAGTAAAGTCATTTCCTTTCAAGTACTTTTAATTAAATTGTGTTAGCTATAGAAGAGAAAATGAATTATGGATTAATTATGGACAGTGAATACGTGTTAGGCCTGGAAAATAAATACAATTAACAGAGTCATCTAGGAAAAAAAAATTAAAGGGGAGGAAGACTTGATGTTGCCACCAGTTCAATCAATGATTTAGAGAACACTTGATAGGTCCGCGACAGGAAATCTTTGATCCATGTGGAAATTTTCAGTTTTCTGTAAACATTTAGTCTTTGGGTTAATAGGGCAATTTTCGTTGATAGAAGTTTTGATAGTAAACTGCATGCTCGTAGTTTTTTTTTTTTTTTTTAATTTCCTCTCTCTGTTATGTTGATTAGGTTAACAGTAACGAACATCTTTATTAAAGTCAAGTTTGAGCGTTTGTATGAAAATCAGTTGTTACTGATCCTCAATTCGTTGGGTGTTGTTGAGCGGTTGATAAGTGGAACCTTGATATCTGAGATACATAGCGGCTGGGCATTTAACAGCTGACCGCTTGATAGGGGTTCGACTGTATATATTTTTTATGACAATGTGATCAAGGTTTTTTGGTTTGTTTGCTGTGTATTTCCTTGAAGTAATTGGCATCCGGTCTTGCTACGTGTATATCATGCGTTCCATGATATGCACGTTGTCTACACTTTCACAGCGATTGTATGAGCTAACTTACGTTTCATTTCTATTAGACTAGAACTGTCGTTACATTGTACGTTCTTTTTAGAACCACAACTAGATATTCTTCAACTCCGTTCATTGTGTTAGCGCAGAAAAAAAAAACATTTCAGTACATGATTGCCAACGCGCTTCGTAGGCATCCCGTTCCTTAGCTAGCAAATGCGTGGTGGATAAAGAGGCGTTACTCCATCTGCGTTCGTAGGCTACATGAACCCTTTTTCCGACACAGGAAGAAAGTTGTCTGGATGCACGCACAGTGGGGATCATAGGTTTCACTCTAGCTGTAGTGTACTGTGACTTAATATTCCCTTTGCTGCACCTGAGCCATCGGTATAACCAGTTGTCACTAAGTTGACGAATAAAAACGTATTATAGTAGATTATGATCTACACAGTAGAGGCATTGCCATACTGGCCTAATGTGGTTAGCAAGTCGGACTCTTAATCGAGGCGCTTAAGCTCGGCTGCTAGTCAGGGTCATGTGACTTTCTTTCCAAGAAAGATACTGGAAGCTTGCTTGAAGCAAATCATTATTATGGTTGTATTCGGCTAACGTGTTTACATCCTTGTTGCCGCCCAATTCAGACCACGTGATGATTCATTTGGGAGGTTACAATTGTGCAATTTGTCACGCCCAACTGAGTGCAAGAGGGTATATGTACAAACAACAATTGTAACCTCCAAGATGAATTATCACTTGGTCTGAATTGGGTGGCAACAAGGATGTAAACACGTTAACCGAATCCCTCTATTATCAATATACGCGACCAAATAGAAACTCGGCCTCTTGAAAACACGTGCTTAGTACCTCTTCACATGCCCGCGGAATTTTATTGCTATTAGCTGACACGAAGAAACTATACTTGTGGCAGAAAAACTGGTAAGAAATACTCCCATTTCGTTCACACAAACATTTTTGCTCACAGTTGCGCACTGTTATCCCGGACCCTCGTATTCTGCGTAGCAGACGTTTATTTCCAAAAACACGCGAAGGGAACGAAACTGCGAGCGAGTGTTTTCTCCCTCATTTTCTGCGCACCCCAGGCGCGCTCGTTCGCTCGCTCATTTGCTCGCTCATTTGCTCGATCTCTCCGGCTGGAAAATGGAAAGGAAACGTCTCTCAGGCTACGCAGGCTAAATCCCTTGGGGAAGGCAATAATAGTTTAAAATAGCGAGGGCTAGAGATAGCCGAAGGTAAATGGCAGGAAAAAAGCATTTCCAAGAGGAACTGGTTTGAGTGCGAAATAGGGAGGGTTGGTGGGTTCGAAAACGAAGACGTCATGAAATATCGAAAAA